GACCAAAAACGAAAATAAGTATACAAAATTAGGTAGAATTCAGGAACAATAATAATAAGCAAAACAATCTACTAAATAATAAATAATGTTTACAAAATATTCTAAATCATCGTTACACAATAATATATTTGATAAAATTAGAAACATTTAATAATATTTCAATACAATAAATAATAATTTAAATAATACTATATAAATTTAATCTTTAGGGATTAAAACAACCGAAAAATATTTGCGTATGTAATAAAAACATTCTTGAAGTTATAAATTTTAAAACATAACACGTCATTTGGACGTTATAGTAGCAGAATATTGGTTGGCCGCCCGTACCAAGTGTGATTTTAGTAGTAGAATTTTCGAGGCAACCCGTCCCAAGTGGGACATATTTGCGTGTGTATTAGTGAAAATCTTAAGATTGGTTACTTGTAGATTTATACAATGATTACAATAACCCATCTGCTTGCTAATTGCGATGACTATTAATAAGGCACAAGGTCAAACAATGACGATTTGTGGATTAGATTTAGAAAATCGGTGCTTATCTCACGGTCAATTATACGTTGCGTGCTCGAGAGTAGGAAAACCGTCGAATTTATTTGTTTATACCCCTCAAGGATTAACCAAAAATATTGTACATCCTATGACATTACGCTAACTTCAGTTTTAGTAGATAATTAACTCTAAGAATAAATACCCGTTATAGAATAGATTCAACCTTTTCACAATCAATTAAAAGACTTCAAGTTTTCATTCAATACAGTTTCTACAATTAACATCTCTGAAAGCGACACGCTATCGATTGGTCGGATTGTGATAAATATATATGTATGAATGACGTTAGATATTGTAATAAGTTTCTAATAAAAATGTTCATCAAAACGGGCTAATTGTTACAGCTAATTTCAAAAAGTTTACATTTAAGACGTGGGACAGGACAACGTCTGTCGGGCTAACTATATTATACTAGTTATATGTTTATAAATTTGCATTCGAAGGAATGTGCAAATATGTAGATATCAAACTCATTTTAGAATTTACATTTCATCGAAAAATATCTTTAACTGTAAATTGATTAGAATAAGGACCGTTGATTAGCTTTAATTGTAAGTGGAGATTGGTGCGTAATGCAAGTATGTAGTAATGCAAAATTATAACAACGTTGCCCATTGCTGATAACTAAAACAAGCACATCACCCTATAAATATTTTCATAATACAATTTATTCATACATACATAATTCCAAAATAATAAACCATAGAATCTATTATCGCAAATTTACCCGAAAAAACATTTTATTATTAATTCGCGTTAAGTTTGAGATAATTGCTAATAACCAACTAATTTTGCTAAATCATCATCACCATTGTAATATTACGGTTATCTGCCCAATTGTAGTAGGTCGCATGATTGTTTGGTCAAAAGTATTTTTACTCTTTAACCAGTTTTAACTATTTTTACCTGACATTCAACGGTCCTTGATCATAAATGATCACTTTTACATTGAGTCCTATCATTTCCAAGACTTCAATGTTTTTTTTTTCTAAATCTACTGCGGACAGCCCTACTTTTGCCACATAATAGGAAATTACGTATATGCAATTAGCTACTACACCTTTCACCATGAAAAAACCGCATTTGTCGGCAACATTTAATTCCCTTCCAGACTATGTATTGATTGAAGAACGGAGCGAAGAGGGAGCATTTTATGGTTTACGCTTCACCTCGAAATCGGAATATAATTTGAATTCCTTAAAGCTTAAATCTTTCTTTCCTATCTGATTACTATATGCATAATTCCTAATAATAGACTGAAGGACTCTGTATAAAGAAAACCTGCTACAACTACCTACAGTTTCATAAAATAAATTATGCTCCAGGAAAGCTCTTTCCTTAAGTCCATTACTTGTGACGTAATTCATCAAATCAAAATTACGGTCACAAATAAATAACTTTTAACGGTCGGTGTATGATGCACATATTTTTTAAGACGCAGTTGTTGAAGGCAATGTCATCATCTGGGAATGAAAAAAGGAAGGACATTCTTAAACACAGCAGGTTTGTTCTAAACTAATGTAAACAAAGGTTGTGGACTTGGCCAAACGTAAACAAAAGGGTCAATGACCTCATGAAATGTAAACATACAGGTCATTAACCTCATAATGTAAACAAAAGGGGTCATTGATCCCATAAAATGCAAAGAAAAGGTTCATCGTAGGTCGAAAAGGAAACGTAGGTTATTGATTTGGCTAAATATAAACAAAGGTTGTGGACTTGGCTAAATGTAAACAGAAGGGTAAACATAAGTTGGTGACTTGGCTAAACGTAAACAAAGGTTGTGGACTTGGCTAACGTACATACATAGCTGCCTTACAAACTGATCGATCAATATCAAGATCAAGATTTTTTTATACCCTCATACCCTGCTATAAGAAATGCCACTGTGAAAAGTATTAGAGCTTCGGGGCAGCAGAAGTTACCGCTTTTTTCTAGTTCTTTAATAAAATCAAATTAGAAATACAAATTTAAATATATCTTACTGCAATTAAAATTAAATTAAATTAAATATTACGATAAAAATTAAAAATGCCAAATTATAATATAATTTAATAATAAATAATATTTAATTGTAATAAAAATAAAAGTACAATATTAAATTAAATTTATTAAATTAAAAATATAACTAATTAAATTTAATATATAAATATTTTTATTTTAATTAAAAATAATTAAGAATATAAAAAATAAAAATTAAATTACATTTATTGACATGCAATAAAAAAAGATGGAAATTAAGTATAAACTTACAAACGTTCAATATTACAAAAGCTTTGATCACTCGCTCCCTCTTTGGTCTTTATAAGTATTTCGAGAGAATTAAAAATGTTATACATAGTAGATATAGATATGTACATATATTCTTTGCAAATAAATAAATTTGTACATTAATATAAAGGGGGTATTAAAATCTATACTTACCTTCCTCAGAATATTCAGCTTTAAAGTATTTACGCTAATATTCACTTGCAACAATTTCAGGTACTCTTCCCAGTCCAATTACACAGAAGATTATCCTATGCACTAAATAAATTCTACCCAACCAACCGAAGAACTTAGCAGCGCACTGCCATTTCTGCAGTATTTAATTAAATCTTCGTGCACCGTCACCTTAATAATAATGCATTTTGCTGCAGTACTACGCTTTCTGATCTCATTGTCAAAAATTAGACTCAATTCTTGTGAAATGAACGAATCAATAAGTAAATATTGCCATTGTATGTATGTGCCTAGTGAGATCAAAGTGGTAGATACATGTTCACCTAACGGTTTATTTGTAACACCTATAAGTAATCGAGCTAGTTATGTACATATGTATATAGGTTTATATTTATCGATATATCGCCCGTTTGTACGCGCAGCGTCGGAAGGAGTATAAACGTCAAAACGAACTCAAGCTTCCATGATTCAAATAAAAAATATAATTAAATATTTTCCAATACTTTTGTAGCTGACGCCATATATTAGTTGTTAGCTAAGAGATCTCTAGTATTTTAGAAACAAAGCTCTTTTATTTATATTTCTTCTAATTGAAAAGGCACATGCCGTATATTTTTTGCTCAGCTTTCAAAACACTGAGTGTTTTCACACACATAGGTATGTATATGTATTTAGGTACCTACAATACCATATGCATAATATATACATATGTATGTATGTACATATAAACTATTTAATCGCGTTGGAGCTGCGGTTTATTTGGTTGGTGTCAACACAACCCTTCAATGGGTAACGATATATTGAAAGGAAACAAATTATATTAAATTTAAGAAAATTAAAGACATGAAAAAACATTCATAGCATAAAAAGGTCTAAAAATATATGTACATAAGTTTATCTTGATTTGATTAGTCAGTTTGTATGGCAGCTATATACTATAGTAGTCCGATTCAAACAATATATTCGGAGATTGAAGTGTTGCCTTGAACAATAATCCATACCACATTTACATACAAGGACTTAAATATGATCGTTCAGTTTATATGGCACTATGGTCCGACATATGCGTGGTATGCGAGCGCACTTTACCGTCTATTAAAATAAATTCGTTTCAACCAGTTGCGGAGAAATGACGCTACGTGTACGTATCAAAGTGCATTTTAGCTGAATGCCACGCTGTTGGTGATTTTAGACAGGTGATTGATAATGCTAATGGAAGCACAGATCTACGAATGGTGAAATTATTACAACGCCTGTGCTGCTCTGTCATACATTCTCTTTCCCCTGTGGAATCGATATACGCGCCCGAACAAGCCACAGCCATCGCAATCATCCTCAATCGCAGGTTGGGCAGCCACCATCGCACGCCATAAGCTCGAAGCTCGAAAAACAATAACAAAGATGTGTGCAATTGACTATTTGTTACAAAAATTGTTGACAAGATTGTGTTGGTTGTGGAAAGTTTAAATTTTATTTAATTGTATTTTAAAAATAGTTAACTTTCCGGAATTAAAGGTTATCAAGAGAACAATTGATATTGTGCATTACTTCACTGCGGTGCCATCAGTCGGTTTATACTATCTTAATTGCATGAGATAATTTTATTTGAACTCACATAATATATACATATGTAGATATGTATATATTTTTATTTATACACCAGGTGTATGTGTGGTATCTGTCAGAAACATTTGTACTTTCTTTGCCGTGTTTAACGGAACAGAATTCTCTTTTTATATAAATACTAATGTTTCGTTGTTTACATACATATTTATTCACGCAAACAAAAATATTCTGTCAAATAAAAAAGTATTTCATACATGGACAGATTTTTGATCGGTCAGTTTGTATGACAGCTATGTTACATATATATGTATACTCTTATGTGTGCTATGGTGGTGAAAAGATGCAAAATGTGCAAAATTTCAGATCGTTATCTCAATAATTTAAGAACTAGTTCGCGTACATAAATATATACAAACAGACAGACGGACATGACTCGATTCAGTTCGTAACGCTGACCACTGATATAATATCCATTCATATGTACATATATACTACCTAGAGTCTCCGACGTTTTCTTCTGTGTGTTACAAACTTTGTGGTTTTGTAATAAACTTGTTGTGTATGTTCAGTGTATACCAAAAACAAAAAGAAATCTAATATAAAAGTCAACAACGCCTACATTCTCACAATTATTTAAACGAAATGTCCAAAATCTATATATGTAAATACATACGTACATATGTATGTATATATGTGTACGTAACATTTAGTTATGAACACAAGCACAAAGTAGATATTTTATGAATAATATTATTTTTATTTTTTTTATTTTAGTAAACAGTATTAGTGCATACATACATACATATAAACTTAGGTACACATTTATACAAATTACTCGCTTGCGGGACAATCAATTAGACTTTTGTATTAATAATTATAAGCAATACATAATATACGAGCACTCCAATCATTGGAGAATTTATTAAGAAATTATAAATAGCTTTCTAGCTAAATATACATGTACAAATGTATGAGTGTATATCTAAATGTTGCTAGATTGGAAAATTAATGATAGAGAATATTTGCAAGTGGTAGATTCATTATGTAAATGCTAATTCTTACTGTTATTACATATACTATAACTAAATGAACATATACATATATTTACACATATGCATATACAGTGAAATATACAATTTTTACGCAGTTTGCCTTGCAATATACGAGTATCTAGTGCCGCGTTTTAAGGAACGCTGCTCATTTGCCGTCTTGATTTTGCTGTATAGTGAATACATGGCAATCCAGAGATAAATATTTAACGCTGTAAAACGAAGCAAAAATAAAATTATGTTCATACTCTCTGATCAAAATTGACCCGGACTGGTCCCTGGTCCATTAAAACTGCGGGCGCAAGCCGAAGGAATCAAACAAAAATTTTCCTACAATGGTTTGTTTTTAATGTTCGTGTTATGTTTTATCTCCATATGTAAATTTTTTGTGTTTGGCAGCTGTTTGTATATGATGCGTAAGGTTTGTTTGTCGATTTTTACCAGACGATACGTTAACATTGAAAAAGTTAAAGAAAACAGTGCTTTAAAATCGTTGTGTGTTGGCATCAGAGATATAGCAGAAGTTCTTAATATCTCTTTTGGAACGTCTCAACACATTTTGGTTAATGTTTTGGGTATGAAGTTGTCAATGCTAGACTCGTATCAAGAGATCCGGAGACCTTTTGCAAAAACGACGTCGGGTAGGCGTAGCAAAATAGACGCATGACAACGTAACTGAGGACCCAACATTCATCAAATATAAGTTTATAAATATGACGTCACCATTTAACGAATGAAGTTGCAAAAATGAGTCGAAACCGAAAAACCCAAAATTCGCTGAATACATCGAAGACCAAGCCAGCCGCTAGGCTTAGAATAAGTAATTATATGGAAAATTGGTTTAAGCGTTGGCATGCTTGTATGCTCTCAGGAGCCTATTTTGAATGCGAATATAAGGATCGTATTAATTTTTTTTTTTGTCAGTCCGGGTCAATTTTCGCAGAAATTAAACACTGATATGTCACTTACCAACTCCGATAATGCTACTATAAAAGTTATACATAATTATGGCAACTAAGCTAAGCACAGTTGCTATAGCTTTGATGACCAACCAGGGCAAAATCAACTTGTGATATTTCTGTGAATAGGACAAATTTCATAAAAAATTAATAAATTACAAAAATAAAATTAAATAAATAAGGAAGAGTTAAGATCGGGCGAAACCGAGCATCAAAGTATAAGTATATCGGATACTTATGTATAAAAAATTGTCTTCGGAAATCAGAATTCGTAAAAATGCTAGGTTATGAGCCGCTTGTAATAAATTACGATTTCCACTAAGTTATTTACTCATTATTCCAAATATTCATCCAAAATTATGCAGACGAATGGAAATGATCATATTCGATAAACATATGGGGCACCCGCTTCAACCACAAAAAATTTGTAGATTCTCGCGTTTTTGTGTTATATATAATTATATGTGTTATATTTCTAACCAATTTTACATTACCAACGTTAAGCTATCGGTTGTTTCGGTTTGTTCTCCAGTAGTTTATAAGATATAGGTACATGTGTACATCCATATTTTTTTCATAATATTTAAACCAACTGTTCTCTCCTTTATGGCCAAATCACATAGAACTTTTGCTTCGCTTTGCGTCAAACATATATTTTGACAGAAAAGTTTTTTGTGCTGCGTTCAGTATGAACTGTCACGCAAAATGAGGAAAGTTGTATGTGAATGGGCTTTCACTGCATAACGCTCTCTATTTATTTACTTGCTGTCGCACCGAATTCTCATCATAAGCACAACAAATATTTATTGCTTACGATATATTTTCTGTTATGGTTCTTCTTTTTGCAATCAGCCACTTTTTGACACAATATCCACAACAAAAATAAATTTATATAGTACTGATACGAACCTTGATTGTACCAAACACTAGACCAGCATTTGCCAATGCATTGATGACAAGAACAACAATACTGACAACAAGGATAATGATCAGAACTAAAAATTTAAAACACACAAAATTATGTTGTTGATAATTTTCGTCCAGATAAATCTATTCATACATGCTTATATACATACATATGTACATATAACATTCTAAAAACTCACCGTTTCCAGCGCCCTCCGGATCATCAAAATGATAGCCTCTTCTCGTCAAAGTTCCAATAAGGGCACGTGCATTTCTTAATAACTCTGCGCAAATGATAATTAAAATGAAAGTTACAAAGCTTCCCAACCAACCGAAAAATTTTGCAGCGGTTTCCAAACGAAAGCAACAGAATTGATCTAACATATTCATTGTACCGAAAATCGTAGGAGAATTTAAAAAGCAATATACACTGCTTCTGCCAATTGTTGTGACTGTTGAGAAATGTGTCTGATATTCTACTATGAACTATTTTGTATGTAAATAATACCAAAATTTATGCTGCACCTGCGCCTTTCGTGCTCTTTCTCACTCTATATATCTATGAATGTACATACTTACATACATATGCATTTAGAAATATGCTCTTTCTTCATATCAAAGGTAAATGTACCATGTCGTAGAGAAGTGGAAGAAGGTTTTTATTTTATACTCAGGCGGAAAGCATCCGTTATAAGGAGCATTTGAAACGGTTTTATTTTTGTAACATTTTTATTAAACACCATAAGGTTAAAGGACCTGCCATTCCTAATACTAAAATAAAAATAAAGTATAATTTTGTATGTATATGTGTATGTATGTATTAGCATATTCATTTTCAGCCAACATTGAGTACCTGTGTTCCACTAACAGATGTTTTGTAAGCATTTGAGTGGAGAAGTGCTTTATTTATATCTTTTTAGAGTAGACATATAAAATAATGTTTACGCCAGAAGATGTTCTTCTCGTAAAAGATAACATGCGTGCAAAATGTGCTGTCTTTGCCCATATATACAAAGAACCATTTATTTATGAAATTATTTTTACCGAAATTATAATACTTTTCACAAATAAAAAAATTCCAAAAAATGAATCATCACATATTCTTATAGAAAATTTACCGATCTACAAAAAAGGTCTGAAACTTTTTTTGGTTGGGTCAACTCATTTCAAGTTATTCGTAGTTAAAGTCCAACAGAAAATCATAAAAAACTACGAATAACTTGAAATGAGTTGACTCAACCAAAAAAAGTTTCAGACCTTTTCTGTAGATCGGTAAATTTCCTTTAAGAATATGTCTTGATTCGCGCTAAACAATTATTTGTTTGGGTACAATAAAAATCCATAGAAAAAAAAACAAAATTTCCTGTGTTATTTATATGAGAAATCGAAAATATCATCTAATATAAATATTATATTAAGAGCTCAGACTTTACCAGAATTTTTTTTCCATCATTCGGATGAGGTAACTAAGAAATAAAAAATTTTTTTTGGCTCACCCTAATCCTTATATTTGCATATAGGTATGTTTCCATAAACTATATTACATCATACAGCCCTAGAATCAAGACTTTTTAAACAACATCCTAAATATTATAATATTTCATTTTTTTCTTATAAACGTTTCAAGTGTATTCTGGTTTATGTAAATATTAAAAATTTGATATTGTTATATAAGCTGTCTTCGATTCGCCATGATTTAGAGAGTAGCGATTCGAACAAACTATGAACAGCTGGTATACATAGTTTGACAGCACTTGCAATCTTGCGCTAACACGTCCTCTGGCGCATGCGCTATTGTGTTGCGCTTTATTCTTTGATGAAGAAATACTTCTTTTCGCATCAAACAACATTTTAATAACACCTTATCTTCGAGTAACCTCCAGGCGTTATGTTTTCGATAAGCAATAAAATTTTTATTTTAAGTGTAAATTTTTTGGATAAAATACTTGTAAAATTTTTTTATTTTGATTTTCAACATAAATTTGCCATTTGGGCTTTTCACAATCGTAAAACTGGTCTAAAATTGACAAGGGAGTAGCGCTCAATGAATGCGATCAGTGAGAGAAGGGGCGCATCGAAGAGGTCTGTAATATCCTATCAGAACACTAGATGCTAGAGTAATTTTTAAATAGCACCCTAAATATTTATTTTTGCAAAATTAAAATAAACAAAACTGTTATACTCCGTGCTACATGTTGCTAGAGAATATAAATCATGAGGGCACATTATTATAATCTGTTTTATTTTTTATTGTTAAAACGCATTGTTAGCTTCATTATACTTTGTTTTTTTTTTGCTTTTTGGATTGATAATAAAAAAAACAACAAAACTTGATTGAATTTTCAAAGTTAAAAAACCGAACACTCTTGCGCTTTATTATTGTAAATAAGGAAATAAAATTTGCATTCCGTTTTGCCGGCATTTAAAGTAAGCATTCATTGATTATTTGTTGACGTTTTCGTTCATAAAAAAAAATGTTTAAACACACATGCATTTGTAGGTAGATGTCAATGTACGTTCTCATACACGTAGGTTACTTTTTGAAGAAATAGGCGTTGTGATTGATGTTTTATGCATATATAAGTATATCCAAGCTGCGTTTCAAAGTAAACAGGACTTAAAAAAAAAGACAGAACGAATGGTTTTATTAGCAAAATCAATTAATTTTATTCAAAATAGTCTCCTTTTTGCACTGTCCAAAAGCATGTCGAACGAGTGTTTTAGCTCGTTGCTCGGTATGGCCACCAGTATGCCGGTGCAAGCCTTTGAATGGCCTCCACGTCTGCATAACGTTTTCCTTTCATCGGCAAATGCCTTTTTCCGAAAAGGTAGAAGTTGCACGGTGCCATATCAGCTGAATACGGGGAGTGGTTGATTGTTAAAATGTCATTTTTGGTCAAATAATCGACCACAAGCGTCGATCGATGAGACGGCGCATTATCGTGCAACAAACGCCAACTTCCATCTTCGCGATATTCGGGCCGAACACGTCGAATACGGCACACCAAACGCTTCAAAACTCCAAGGTAGAATACCGCATTAACGTTTTGGCCGGGTGGAACAAATTCTTTGTGGATAATACCCTTGGAATCATAAAACCAAATCAGTATTGTCTTCACTTTTGACTTCTCCAGGGGCGATTTTTTGGATTTCGGCTCCTTTCTCATTTATATCCTCACGGCCACTTTGAAAACATTGAAACCACTCGTGCACTCTGCTACGGGATAGGCAATCATCGCCATAAACTTGTTTCATCAATTGAAACGTTGCGGTAAAAGTTTTACCAATTTTAAAACAAAATTTAATGTTGATCTTTATTCGAAGCTCATTTTCGCAACGATGACAAAAACATACTGACACTTAAAACACAATAACTTCACTAGGATAGCAGATTCTAACGCACTAGTCGACATATAGATGGCGCCACTAGAGTTTACTTTGTTACTCTTTTACTGTTTACTTTGGAACGCACCTAGTATGTACATATGTACATACTTACATACGAGTACATATTTGTATACGCAATTGTGATCTTCAAAAAAAAAAAAACTATAGAAAAATAAATAAAACAAGTAAGGAAAGATTAAGTTCGGGTGTAATCGAACATTTTTCTTGCAACTTGCAAGGATCAAATCCAGCGAATTGGGTAATTCGTAAACAATACCACATATTTTCGGCATTAAACTATGTTACGACCAATATTATCCATTCAGTTAATTTTATTAGGATATCTTACATATTGACCAATATATACAGTATAAAGTCAATCAGAAGTTTGAAAATCTTATATCATATGTGTTATATGAGAGATAGGGATAGTATTGAACCGCTTTTATCAATTTTTGCCATTACCACATATTATTAACAGAAGAAGATGATCTCTGAGTTTCATTAAGGTACCTAACATATCATCAGCAATATATGCGGTATTAGTTATATAGCGGTTAGAGCAAGTTTTCACTCGATTTTATACATTTTATGCACAAAAGGAAAATCTGTCTTTTAGTTCCATTAAGATAACTCACATATTGAGCGATGTGTGCGGTATAAAGTCAGCCAGTAGTACGAAAATGTTTCTGTTAGGTATATGAGGACTAAGGGAATTATTTATCCCATTCAACTCATTTTTGGCACCCGAGGGCATATTAATTTCAGATAAAATTTCCCTCTGAGTTTCTATAAAATATCTTACAGATGGACCGATATTTTCGATAAAACGTTCGCGATAGGGAGTGGAGTCCATATATTCGGAACCGGGGGGCTTGAACACTTTTGTTTCGATTTGGATGATTTTCGACCATAAGCTGGTACACTTCAAAGTCTGTATTTGTGCAAAATATATTCCGATCGATTCATTGGTGCTTAATTTGTAAACTGGAAATTGAAAAAATCAGATGGATTATAAAATTGTGTTAAATGAGAAGTAGACGGGGTTCTAGTCTGATATCGTCCAATTTCATATTGCGACTGTCAGAAGAATGCTACTTACCGAATTTGGTTGAAATCGGTCGAGTTGGTCTCGAGATATGGGTTTTCACTAAACCTTATAGAGGGCGGGGCCACACCCATGTTGTCAAAATTTTTTTTACCACAGGTGCCCGTTACTACTGCGATCCCCTGTGCCAAATTACAGTTTTACATCTTAATTAAGTGCTTATGGGACTTAATAGGTTTTCGTTTAATGGCGTTTTGTGGGCGTGGCAGGGGTACGATTACGCCCATCTATGAACCCGTCCTTTCTTTTTGTCAACAATAGAACACTTGTGTAAAGTTTCATTACGATATCTTAATTTTTACTCAAGTTAAGTTAGTTTTAGGTGATACAAACAACCGTTAGGTGAACAAAACTATTATACTCTGTAGCAACATGTTGCAAGAGTATAAAAATATACAGAAAATATTTGTGCGACTAAAATTAAATTAACCTTTTTTTTGGAAATTAGCAACTAATTGCCTGTGCATGATATTTATAACCGGTTTGCGGAATTATGAACATCAATTGTCTTAATAATTCAAATGAATACTTAAGTAACTAGTATTCACCAGTATAGACATATGTATACATACGTATGTAGAAATTCCAAATCATTAGGCATTTTATAAAGAAATTCATTAAAAACATTGTAATTGTACAACTGTCTATATAATTACTTACTATAGTCACACATCGACTTTAAGTAATGAAACGGAAAAGTTGTAAAAAAATTATTGATTTATTTTTATTACTGTCGACTTGTTGATATACAAATTTTTTATTGTCATTACATAATATATATATAAAATATATAGGCATAAATATAAAAATTTGATGTTTTAGTTAGGCCTTTTTAGTTAGGCCATTTGTTTGGGCATATACTCAGCTGGACCTGAAAAGCCTGTTTTTCTTTCCGATTCGATTCTCTTATAAAGTGAGAACATTGCTATCCAAATATAAATATTCAACGCTGTAAGAAAATCAGTTAATAAAATTACACTGAATTCAAAGTATAAGTATAAGTATGGGGCTTACCGAGGCCCAAAAGACTTCCATAAGAACCAGTAGAGAATATGAAAATAATCGAAAACACCATTCCTAAAGCACTGAATATCAACCAAACCATAATCAAATTGTGACGTTTCTGTAAATAATGGAAGAAGATTGTTAGGATTGAAATCCAGTAAAATAAATAAAGTTTAATATAAATACTTATATAGTACTTAAATTACTTAATTACATGCAACTTATTATTAAATAATTAAATAAAATCATATTGAATCGGTAAAAAGAACTACAGAATCGTTGAAAATGTTTCAGCAGTGTTTTTTCGAGTCTACTTTTTTGTGAACTCGCGAGTATTTAAGTGGCACAAAGCATTCAGCGAAGTCTTTAAAACTAGCCTGTGTGCGAGTCGTCCATCCAACTCTGTTAATGACGATAACATCAAAAAAGTTAAACAAACAGTGTTTGAAAATCGACGTGTTGGCATCAGAGAGATAGCAGAGAATCTCAATTATCATTCATGTAGCGACCATCTTAGTCGAGACTTAAGAGTGTTTGGAAAATGGGAGTAAACGTTGGCATGAGTGTATTGAGAAAATGTTTTTTGTTAGTCCGGGTCCGATTTGATCAGATGGTACATAAGATAAAAAAATTACAAGAGCATAATACAAAAGGAAAAAAAATAAATAAAATGAAATAGAAAATAAATCAAAATTTATTTATTTATAAAAAATAGAATTAAGTTAAGTAAAATGAATTCTTAAAACTAATAATAAAATAAAATAAATTAAATTAAAGAGAAAAAATATTTAAAAAGGTTAAATTAAATTAAAAATTAAATGAATAATAATAAATTAACGCCTTAAATAAAAACTGAATAAAAATCACAGCTTAAATTAGATTACCGTCAGTAATTCGAACAATTACTAGAATTCGAAGCAAGTAAAGACAAATTCAATACACTGGCAGAGTCAAATAAAAATAAAAAATTATTCAAAATATCAAATCTTAATTGCGTTATAATTATTGAAAAAAAAAATTAATTATTTTTTATTATATTGATTATACTTAATTGAATGAAAACAAAAATTTAATTATTCTTAATTACTTTGGATATATTTATTTAATTATTTAAAATTGATAATGTTATTTAAAAGCGAGTCCTAATTTCTAAGGGTTAGTAACAATGTGCAAATTAATTTTTAATTAATTGAGTGAAAGAAATATAATTTTCAAATAATTTTAATTATTTTAAATCCAGGGTACCATTTAAAATCCAGTGCTAATTTCTAAGGCCAAGTACTCGAATAATGTGTAATACTTATTTATGTACGCATGTCGTTTTTTT